TTTCTAAGGATCTAAGGGGGTTTTTGGTTCGGTTTTCCTTAAGGACAGAGTTCTAAATCAAATCCCAAACCTAAATCTACGCAGATATAGGAATCAAAGGCAAGAATCTAGAAATAAAGCAAGAAAAACAGAAAACAACAATGATTCAGACTCAAGAAGACAAACAAGAATTAAGAACACTGAACAAAGTGTGTACAGAGGTGCAAAGTCAAGGACAGTGGCAAATTAACAAATATACAAGCAGTTTGTGTATGCATATGTAGACCCATAAAAATATTGGACAAACATGAAGTTGCAAACAAACATGCTCAACGAGCGAATGATGGAATTTAAAACACAAGCAAAGATTGAAGAATACGAATGGATTCACAATGGCAACATATAGGCATAACAGAGTTTGAAGTGAATCAAAAACTGAAAAGAGAGAAAACAGTGACTTACTGAGAAGAATGACGCCGGATGAATATCGCCGGAGTTGGACGACGTGAGTGGTCGCAAATGGACGGTGAAAAGCTCGCCGAAGGAGGTGCTCGATGCAAGTTGCAGAAAGCTTTGAAAGAACGAAAATGGAGGTTTTTTGTTTAGAGAGAGAAAAACTTGAATGCAGAGGGAAAATGAAGAATGCAAAAGTGAAGAGACGGAGAGAGAAAGATGTTTTGTTAAAACACAAAAAGGGCGGCAAATCATAATAATGTGCCTTGGACGATGTGTCTGTTAGGCGGCATGCGCAAAAGCGACGCGACCTGATAGCGCGTGTCAGGTACGATTCAATGAGAAAAGGACACGTGGATAAAACGGTTGGGAAAACTGTGCGTGACAGCTCATGCACATTTAGAACTCTTGAAGTTCTTGATTTAATGAAGCGAGAACCTTGGTTAGGGGACTTGAAGAACTCGGTTCTTGGTTCTTGGTCATTAATAAAGTAGACTGCAGAGTCTTGGTCATGAGAAGCCGACGTGATGATTTCGGTCATGAAAGATGGAGTGAGTCCTAGCTGATGTGCTGTATGGGAAAATGGTATAGGTTTCATTACCTCAGGATGACGAGGTAATGGAACCTAGGGGGCAGTTGTGGCGGCATATTTTGTGAATGACAACACGTGGCCAAAGTGACACTGAAGTGTCAGCCGAGCTGCCACGTGTCTTGGTTATGGCGCCGAGGTGATCTTGGCTAGGCTGAGGTTATCTGCGAAGATATCGGAATCCGGGATGAGCGGATAAGAGACAAGAGTCCTAAAATGGGGGAGAACCTCAGTCTGGATAAAGATAAAGCTCTTAGGAAGTTTATCTCTATCTATTTGAGAGTCTAAGATGCGCATTGAGCCAGAGTCCATTGAAGCTAGACTTCTACAGGGATCAGGTTAGTGCTGGCTATAAAAGTAAGGCACCCTCGTGGGTCTAAGGTACGTTGTTTGTATTCTAGCTAGTGAGTTAAGCACTATTTACTATCTTTGAGAGATAACTCAGTACTGACTTGATTGTCGGAGTGCCCCTAGATGGACGAACCACTGCCGAAGTCTTATCTTTCTGTGACAGGTTGTTCGGGCATAATCTATTATGTCTGTGCTCTCCTGTTGAGTTCCTATTTGGCAGTGTGGTCAGAAATCAGCATACACAAGCCCCATCGCACGTCATTCAACCCTCCCTCTCTTGGTTCTTTGTTTACAAAATATTACAAAAAATAAAACAAAATAAAGCACATGTAAGGATTCTCATAGCTGTTCTTTAATGGAGCAGAGTAGGGGTCATCTGATCTATTAAGTAGTGTGTGAAGGAGAAGTCTTGACAAACACAAATAATTACAATAGTTTTTGTCGTTTTTTGGCATAAATTCTGACACATATTTTCAGGCGTGAAGGAGAAGTCTTATCTCTAACAAATTTAAATAATTATGTTGGCCATTGTCGTTTTCTGGCTAAATCCTTCTTGGTGAAACTCCCTGTAGATGCTTACTGATGTAAATGCTTGATGATAATCTTGGATACTTGATATTTCTTTTTTAAATATTAATTATACATGTATTTGAGAGAAATTATTTTAAACACAATGAGTATTATATATCTCATACTTATTATTAAGGAACCATGACAGTCTAGTGAAAATTCGTGCATGTATGGAGCTTAAGGTGTTGTGTTTCATTCCTTGCAATCATCTTCACAACTGGGATCTCACAGGCTCCTGGAAAAGGTCAGCAAGTCCAAATGTTTACATGTACTGTAGTCCCACAACTCATTATTTTAATGAGTGAGGTTCTTTCTTTCAGCCTTTATATTTAGCCCAGTTAAATTAAAAAGTCAGATAATATATATAATCTTATGTACTATTGTAAAAAGGAGATAAATGGTATAAAAAAATTATAAAAAAAATAATAATTAGTTCCTTCAAGGAGGTAACTCTAAATGCACCCCAAAAATTAGGTTAACACTTTATTACTTGAAACATCACAAATTTAAAATTTAAATACTTATTTATTTATTTGGACATCCTAAATAATACCTATTATAACCCTAAAAATCAAAGAAAAACCCTTGAAATTCTACTTTCTACGCTCCAAGTCTGATACCTATTATATATGTTTGAAACTTAATTTTGAACCTATGGAGTTTATTCAATTACTCAGTTTTGAACAATAGAAAGTTGATTGCAGCATTTTCATCTGAATATATAATGCTAAACAAATTATATATGTTTGAATACTTAATTCCGAGCCTTTGAAGTTTCTTTGAATACTCAGTGTCGAACAAAAGAAATATGTTAGGATACTCAATTCCAAACAAATGAGACATGTAGGAATATTCAGTTCTGAACAACAGAAAATTGGTTCCTGCTTTTCCATCAAGATAGTCAATTCTAAAAATATTAAATTATCTCAATAATAGTCTCGGTATTGTCACACTTCCTGTGCCACTGAATATATTTATGCACTTCTAATTGGCCCAAAAGTTGTTGCATTTGAGATGGTCAGCCTTTTCACCAACTTTATATCTTCGACGTGCATTATAAATTGTCTTCATAGTAGACATTGACAGCATCTTTGTTTCAAAGTAATTAGAATCTCTTGCAGTCTCACCATACTTTTGAACATTTCAACCAATAACGAGGTTCCTCTTGTGATAACCTCTCGACATAAGAATGACCTTCAAAATGGTTTGCAGCTGTGGATGATTTTGTACACCACATACGACTTCCAACATCCAATCATCATTTGTGTCGAGTTTCTTGTCCTTTAATTGGAAAGAACAACCACATCTTTCTGTACCCGTTAGCTTGAAATTCATTTATTTTTGGACCTTTATGATTTTTCTTGTAGCTTTATAATAATCACTTCTTTCACACGCAAGGGTAATTCTTGCTCTCCTATTACCATTGCTACCTGCATAAGCCCTCTTCGTAACAATTACAAAATCATTCTTCCTTCCTATGTCACAAACCGACCAAATTAATGTTTCTCGACTCTTAAATATCTACTTATAAGAAAAAAATAACTAATATTCATAATGATAGTACACATTACAATTACTAATTTTATGTATGTAACATACCTTATGAATAACAAATTCACTAGTAAAATCCATTACACATTCTGTTGAAACCTTATTACGTCGTATAGAAACATCACCCTAAAACATAGTATGAGAAGATAAAAAATTTCAACTTATGCAAACACATAACCGAATATTTTAATTTTTTTTGATACTTAATAAATCAAAAACAAATTTCTCAACATAGGCAATTTGGATGGAGATATAATACCAGAGATATATATATATATATATATATTTGTTCGATATTGGAGTGTGAAAACGTTAGAAAATTAAATTTCAAAAAACAAAACTGAACATAGACAATTTGTTTGGATATTAAATACTGAACAATAACTATTATTTTGAAATTGTTGAATATATAGATTTTGTTTGGAAACAAGTTTCCAAATAGGAATATAAAAATGGCCCGTGGCCGAGGCCGAGCCCAGCCCGAGCCCCTGGGCCTGAGCTTGGGCCATCATTTTGAAGCCCGACCTGCCTGGCCCAGCTCATCGGCTTGCTTAAAGCCCATTCAAGGCCTAACCCGAGACCCAGTGTCTTTTTTAATGAAAAATAATAAAACTTCGATAGAAAAAATTTTAAAAAATCAAAAAAAATAGTCCGGCCCGCACAAGCCCGACCCAAGCTCATGGCTAGACTCAGGCCCACTGACCTAGCCAAGGCCCGAACATCCTTGGGCCTGGGCTTAATTTTTTGAACCGTGGGCCAACCCAACCCGAATTTTAGTAGGAGCCCGCGAGACTCGACATGGGCCGAGCTAGGCCAAGGTGGGCCCGACCCAACTCGGCCCAGCCAGGCCAAATTTACAACCCTATTTCCGAATAAATATAATTTGCTCAGTACTGAATTTCTAAATCAATTCCACAAACCAAATAATGAAAAATGATAAAAATATCAAATAAAAATCTCATTTATTGCCCATTGTTGATTTTAATATGAAATAGAATGAAAGAACAATTGATTCAAACAAATAAGATCAGGCACGAAAATGCAAAGTAAAAAGTGTAAGAAGAGAGAATAAATATTGAGCCTAATAATGAATAGTGTCAAAAACACTTTGATTTACACTTTTTTTCAATGTCAAGTATTTTTTAATCATTTTAAATGACTTAATAATAATAATCATAATCATAATAAATTGCATCAAATAGAGCCACACTCGAAGACTACCCACCTCCCTCTCTCTCCCTCTCGCACGCGCGCACACACACACACCCACCCACCCACACATTTCAGGACAAATTTTGTAAACAATTGAGATGAAATTTTTTAGTCAACCAAAAAAATGATAGGTACATTCTCGGGGGAAAAACAAAATTCCATTAGTGTGAGCATATATCAGTGAACTATCTGGGACACGGGAAATTTACTGATTTTTTTTCCCTTGAAATCATTGCTTGATTGGTTATGGAATCTTTAAGATAAGGCACACCACTTGAGTATAGCAACAAAAAAATAAAGCAATAAAATCAACCATTCACAGGGTTTCCTATAATTAGAGAAGCCGTGCACAAGCGAACAAGTTTTTACAGGAGTTCAAAATAAGTAAATAAAAAAGACAAATCTCAAGAGAACAAAATTTCAGTGTCATCAAGCATTGTTTCAGTCCCACATCTCTCTCCATTGATATACAAGCAAACATCTCTATGATTTTTGCTGGTCTGTACCATGAAACTTCCTCCCAGCTTCAACAGCTTCCCTGCACACAAAGGCCAATTAGAAAAAATTTAATGAGTTCTACCCTTGGACAAAGGACAAGATCTTTATACTAATCGCAATGTTTCTATACCCAAAAATGTAGGTTTACTAGTTGCTTTTGTTAAGCTTTCCGTTTATATACACGATCAAAACCGCATTGCAAATGCATTTCAGTGCATATGCCAAGATAATGATGTCAAAAGTCTTTTCGCATTTAGATATTATTGATAAGTTGATTCACATCGACATCAACACCCAGAAATAACAAGATGTTACCCAAATTAGGTTTGCCTCGTCTTGGTGTAAGCATGAAAGATTCTAACAATATTCTTCAAAGGTCAGAAATATCAAATGATGCACAACATTCCAATGAATTAATGAAACATGGATTCAGTATTTTCAGAAGAATTCCACAAGCAGTAAACAGTGTGAATTCTGAAGAAAAATTTACAATAGCAATGAATTTGTCCAACTTTGCACTGCCGTTGTTCTTGCTAGCAAAAACAACACTTGTTCTGGTTTTTGAAGACCCGAGGTTTACTCAAAAGATGGTACTGATAACATAATAATGCTATGTTCATTTAAGTGGAAAACATTTTCTACATTTTCTGGGGTTTGATACAGGTGCAAACTAAAGTTCAACGGAAAACATTTTCTGTAGTCAATGGAATACAAGCTTATTTGCATGTAAAAATGTTTTCCACTATTAAAAGGTGGAAAATGTTTTCTTAGTGGAAAATGTTTTCTGGATTAAAGTCCTACCAGTGCCATGCCACTACCACCACTGCCACCATCTCACTCTCTCACACCCTTACACATCAATCAATCAAATTTTCTCACACCCATCTATTCAACTAAAAAAAAACAAAACATCACTAATATAATAACCATTAGTACATTAGTTTCAAGGACGCAACCAAATATAGGAAATGCTTTTTCTTGAAAAAAATTTCCATAATAGAGCTGAAACAAACAGAGCGCAAGGGAAAATGTATACCAGGTTACTTTTCTGTGCCAGATTTCTCTACCCAGTTACTGTCATTGTTATACATTTTTTTTTCAATTAATTTGAAGATTTTAAATGATTTGTATGGTCAGAGTCACATGTAATGACCTGGGTTTACAAGACCACCTCACAGAAAAAGGAAAAAGACCTGAAAGCAAAAAAAAACCACGAGTGCGCAAGCAATAACAGCAGTTGAAACCAGAGAATTTTCCCACTAACCTGAAAGCATCTACAAGAGCCTTATTTTCAGGGTCAAGCGTCACGCCCTCATAAAAAGAATTGGCTGCCTCATCAAACTTCTATAAATATGAAGCATGAGAAAAAAACATCAGATAAAACAATAAAGATTTATTACTAAAATTTTAATTTGAAGGAAAAGCATTTAAAAGAACAAGTGCATGCCTGTAATAAACGTAAAGCTGCACCTTCCCGGTAGCAAGCCTTCGGCCAATCCGGTCTTAGTGCTCTGCAGGCCTTTGCATCATTCAAGGCATGCTCAGCTTGTCCTAAACAAATCCAACAAAGACTTCTATTGGAAAGCAAAGTAGCATCAGTGGGATCAAAATCAATTGCCTGTAAATCCATCAGCATAAAACAACTTAGTCTGACTCGATATAGCTCCAAAAGTACAAGTAACATATTTATTATTGGCACTAAATTCCGAAAACATCGTTAGGGAAGTATAAACATAAGATTCATCAAATATTGGGGTACAGAGAACAAATTGATGTAAACTTAATTTCTACAATTTTTTAAACCCTCAACTTCTATTCAGGTAATTTCCTCATGTAACAATTTTATCACATTTCCACTACTATGTCATCTATTTCAAGAATATTTCATCATTTGAGCTACTTCCAAACATCACCATTTTTTTAGAACCAACTAGCAGAACCTACCTAGCCGACTCAGATAAGAAAATTAGATTTCTCCTATATTACGTCTCAGCACTCAACTGAATTTTACTGTAGCAGTTCTTGGTGCTAAAAGCTCTCTAAACATTTCCAGTGCATGTGGGATGGGAGGACAACACATGCCCCAGAGTAGTCTCCTCTCCCCCCCCCCCCCCCCAAAAAAAAAAAAAAAACACACACACACACACAAGACGGCATTCAGGCTTGTGCAAGTTAATCAAAGCAGGAATTGAATCATTCTAATCAAAACTATGACATAAATTGTCATCACCTGCATAGGAAACCTATGATCGAAAATGTTAGATTCAGTACAGGACCGTGGGTGGCAATTGGAAAGTGCAAAGATGAAACATAAAATCAATAGAGGATATAAACATGATATCAATATATCACAAAATATAGATATCGTTTGGGGAGAAATCCAGATTCAGAAATTAAAATCATAATAAAATATATCAATAAATCAAAATATCAATGTCTAGAAAATACACACATAACAACATATCAATCTCTGAAGAATATGGATATATCAATTGATATTATAAACTTCCCAACCTGAAAGAATATTCTCATTTATTTGTTTCACATAATAAGTGTGGATGACGGGCATCCGGGATGGCTGGGACGAGGTGATATGGGAGCTCACTCCCTCCTTGAGATTGACCATACCATTCCTTCATAGAGGCAAATCTCCCACTCTCTCTGCTAAGACTGCATCGGCTATCTCCCTATCCATCCTTGGTGTTTTATGACATTTACTGCCTACAACTATTTCCAGAAGGTCCCCACTTACTAGCAGGAAACTCCAACTTAGGTGATGTTTTTTAATGAGAAATGCGTTTTTGCACTCCCAAGAAACTCGCTCCCGTCGATGAAAAAACTCACTCCCGAAGGTATCCTAAAGGAATGGTAGCACCACCATCCACCCAGACGCGGCCATCAAAAATGGTTCGTGCGACGGCAGCGATAGCAAGTTCTGGATAATCCATTCAATCTTCTTTTCTTTCTCTTTTTTATCTTTTTCTGAATTTTCCATGGAACTCCCTCTTGAAACATTTCCAGAAACTCGAGTCTCATTTCCTCTTTTTCCGGTAGCATTTCTAGATAGAAACACTTAAACATACAAATATCAAAGAAACAAAAGAAAAATGACTTAAACTTATTAAAGTACTTTCTACATACATAATATTTATTCATACTTGACAAAGACAAATTGTAATTGACATCAGTCTCAAATATTTATTCATAATTTAACACATTTTACAACTACGTAGAAAAATGATTGTTAGAATATATTTATATAGTTAATATATGAAATATATACACGCTTCAATAGGTGCTCCCGAATGCTCTCGCTTCCCCGTACCCGCACCCGCACCCGCACCCACACCCATTCCCACTCCCGTCCCCACTTCGTGCAACTAAGGTCCCACAATCTATTGAACACCTGAATTCTCCACACACACAATTAAGGACAGAAATTGTCTCTTATAATCACAAGCCCTGCAAGCTAGCTATGGAACTTGCAAGATGATGATAATCACACACAGCAGAGCAGAGCAGAGCAAATGAAAATAATTGGCACCTGTGTGTAAGCATCAACGGCCATCAAATAGTCCTTTTGTTTGAAGGCATCATTTCCTCTCAATTTTGCTTCTGCAGCTTTCTTCTTTGCCTCAGGAGTCACCTGAGAAGAGATTCAACATTTTTCAGTGTCAAACACCTACAATACAAGTTTTTCAATATAGCACCAAAGTTCCAGATAACTAAGGATGGCAATTTGCAGCCATGACATAGTTGCACGAACTGGGAGCAGGAGCGAGGGCCCTAAAGAAAGGTTTAAGGTTGAGTGAGGGCAGGAACAAGGACCCTATGGGAGTTTCCTGCTACTAAGGCCAAGATAGTAAATTTTTTTTGACACAACAAAAAGAGGAAACAGAAAGATAACGATCCTTTTACAGGTGGAGGGACTATTACAAAAACTAAATGAACGATTCTTCCACTCATGAGTATAAAACAATAGCTTAAATCAATCTAAACATCAAGGCCAATTTAGCTAACAGTTACATTAGTTCTTGCTATGATTATTTTGAATTTTTTTTTTTTTTTTTTTAAATTATTTAACAATAACAAACTTTTAGCATAAGCCTACAATCTACTAGTCAACTCAGGCTCATAAATCCTTCCCCAACTCAACAACCTAACTGAACCAAATTTATCAGTTAGTTTTAATAGCTGGCAGATACAAGAAATACTTTAAAACACAACGCCCAATAGTACACATTAATGTGTGCTTGGGAAGGGAAAGATTGGGTACATACCTAACACCTTTGGCAATATGCACAAAGGTTATAGCATCACTCTTATCCTGTTTAGATCATTCTAAATTTCTCTAATTAATCCTCAATACATTAGTTAATGAATTTGTTACAAATGGCATTTTGACAACAGAATTTGTCACTATAGATTTGCTACTAACAATTCTGTCCAAAGACATGAATGATTGTTTATGAATGTTCAGAAGAGGTCAGCAACATTGCAACAGAAACAAAGCTGAGTATGTCAAAATCAATTTAAAAAGGTCAATAATAGTTGACACTGCACCTCAACCATATCTTGCTTTGGTGTGATAGCATCCCTCTGTAATTTAATTTCCTTTTTCTCTTCCTGCAATTTGCACACTTCAAAGTTAATACAAAAAAATAGGAAATGCTGAGAGTTAGTTTAGCCTTTATTTTTTGAGTAGAGTAAAATGGACAATGTGTAGGAATTCAAAGTAGAATCAAAATCAAATCACATTCAAAGCTCCCCTCCTATGAATGGAAAACACCCTGAAAGACATCCATGTGGCTTTTTATTTTTGCTAGTTGATTTAAAATAAACAAAAAATGGCATTCTATACTGCAATATATAAACGGATACGGGACAAAAGATACATATATATATAATTGTCCAAAAAGCAAGGTTCAAAACATTGCCCCTTGTGCCTCATTCATAGCAGGTGCTGCAATGCTATTGTGTCGTGCTACAGAGTGATTAATGTTAGAATAGTTATTTCTATTCTATTGTTAATATTTACTTAAGTTGAGGGTACAATTGTCATATTGCAATATTAGGGTTTGTATATATATATTTTGCTAATGTACTGATGTAGGGTTGAGCACAATATTATGAGATATATAAAAATTCCTTCCCCTTCTACTTCCTAACCCTAAATTTCCTCATTTTACATTCTAACTATTAAAATTTAAAATATTTGGACTCCGTAAAATATCAGCAAAGATGAGCATATATAACCTGAATTGTTAATATATTGCAAAATAAAGATATAACATGTCGAGGCTTTCACTTTTTGCTTTTCAATTCAAAATAAATTAGGAAACAAAAGAGCCACTGGTGTACTAAGCATAATTCTGCTTAAAATTATGGATATATAAAAAGCAAAGCACATACACAATGTCCACCTAAAAACAAGGTTTAGAACGACAGCTAATACATATTCTTTAGCAAAGTGAGTCTCCTGACACTCAACCATTACTCATTTCTTGAGTAAACAACATGCTTTGATTTGGGTTTTCTTTAACATATATATGTAAAACAATAATTTTTTTTTTTTATTTTCTTAGTAAATTGACTAAATATGGAAAATCAACCAAATAGTTTATAGTCACAAGTTCAACAAATATGAACTTGGGAACACATACAACTTGGAACCCAATGTCATATTTTGCTAAGGGCCTTTTTCTAGAAAATTGGATTTTTTATGTTTTAAAATCATGAATATTTTGTGTTTTAAAATGTAACAACTAATTTAATAATTCAAAGTTTGAACCTGTGTGCTCTACCAATGTCCACAAGATCATACATATCCTACTAGAAAACAAAATTAACTTGTATGCTCTTACCACATGATGCAAGACATTTTTCAGTTATATTGCTTTTTTATTACAATCTCATTCTCATTCCTATAAATTGAACAGTTTTTACCTAATTTTTATATAAAATCCACATATATACATATCTTTTAATCAATTTCAGTAGGATTGAAGACAGCACATTGAGAATGTGATTGAAAGTGCTGAGGAGCATATTTAAGGATGGTACTTAATAGCCGTATATTTGTAACTAGCTGGATTATTTTTCATTCAGTGTCTACATATTTTATATTTAATAGTATAGTAGAATAATGAACTTGGTCGCGGCCGCACATGCAATTTGGACAATGTTGGATGAGTTAAATGGTGAGCTTTGCCAACTTTATTGCTCCATTATCATGTCTCTAAAACTTAGAAAATTTCATAAATTTGTTAAGATTTTTTAGCCTTGTAGATGTGTGTCAATATATATCATGCCATATGTGAAGCAACACTGCCAAGTACAAGGCTTCCTCCAGACTCCCCGCATAAGTTGTTAACGGTGATTTTGTCTCTTTTCTAGAAGCATTTGTGATAGGGTGTAAGCCTCGATCCTGAATTAAATGATAAAGAACACAAAGCTATGTAAAAAGGCAGAAGATCTGAGTACCTGTTCTTTTCCAGTTTCAGATTGCGTATGTTCAAGTATTCCATCAACAGTCCACTCTGGAACAGTTTGAATTTGTGAAGTTAAGGGAAACAGGATCTCAACAGCTGTCCTGTTACCTCTTGCTGCAGCAACCTGCACAGGCTTGAGCCCATCCTATAATGGAAAGAAGATGCATCATCAGAATCAAGGAGATTTTCAACTTGAGTTTTTCATTTTATTCTCAATTAAATAAGAGAACGATCCTATCTCTTTTCGACAATAAAGCATCGTATATAGTATCTAATATATATATATATATATTCAAATTCCATGTTAACATAAATTTGAAGCAGAGACAATTGTTGTATTTGTTGAGACAATAAAAGGCAATGTAAATAAAACAATATTACATGCTTTACTGAACTTTTATGCTTAAATCCATCCAGCATGTAAAAGATGTTCAAGCATCTAGAAGAAGAAAATGGAAATTTTCAAGAGAAAAAGGGAAGGAATATCAAGTACAACCACCCAAAAGAAGAAAAAAAAAAAGAAAAAAGCGCCCCGGGGGGGGGGGGGGGGATGTAATGCATACTTAGGGATTTCCTGTTTTAGGTGTCTCTACCTTTTTCTGGTTTTTAGAGTTAGATTTAGCGTGGGAGATGAAAACAAGGAGAGAGGGAGAGAGAGACAGAGACAGACATACAGTAAACTGCTAATGAGAGACCCAAAAATTAGGGTTTTCTTTCATTGCATTTGTATTTGTATTATAGTCGTTCAAAGTACATAATTGCCGCGTAGGCATACAGTAAACGGCTAATGAGAGACCCAAAAATTAGGGTTTTCTTTCATTGCATATGTATTTGTATTATAGTCATCCAAAGTACATAATTGCTGCGTAGGCTACTAGCAACTAAATAAAGTAAAAACACAACTTATAACAGTCTCCCTCGAGTTGGCAAAAAGATATTTTGCAAACCCAACTTGCAAACAATAGGGTAAAAAAACTTACTACTAATACCTTCAGCGAAAACTCAGCTACCTGCTTTTGCTTAGCTAACTGACCTTTTAATTTCACAAAAGGCATACAAATTAATCCCTTATTCACCTTCTCGTTGATGAAGTGCATGCCAATCAATGTATGCTTGGTTCTATCAACCTAAACTGGATTATGAACAATACTAATGGTAGCTTTATTTTCACAATACAACTTTATGGTTCACCACAATAGACTCCGAGATCTCCTAGCAAAGTCTGAAGCGACAGAAGCTCACAAGTACCATGAGCCATGGCCCTCTACTAGAGACACTGGATCTTACCACCAATGTCTGCTTCTTGATACCCAAGTAACCAAATTTTTTCTCATGACTGTCTATCTACACACCACACACAAAAAAATTGAAAAAAGTTGAAGAAAGAGTGGGAAAGAAGATTTCATTTTGCGAGAGTGTCCTTGATGACTGTAAAATAAATTAGAGGCTAGACCAAAGAGGAATCAGGTCCACCAGTCCAACAGTTCAATTGCCTGATCATGCCACAGTTCGCGTTGAATGAAAAAACTCATGACAAGAGTTTGTTCCTCCCACATGAGCTCTTTTCTTTCTTTGTTTTTCTGGATGGGGGCCAGGAGGGGGTAAGTATATGCAGAAAATTATCTACTGCAATTTAACAACATCAATGTACTGGTACACAAGTATATATGGAACCTCAAATAATGTTTACCAATAATTTATAGGTTGCCATGTTGCTTTAGAAACAATCTCTCATTCCTTACCAAGACAAATTGATCGTTTCAATTATTTAACACCCATTCTGGTCCAGGTCCTAGACACTGACAAGAACCACCTTCATATAATTGTGTGTTCGAAGATATTGGAGATTATCATACAGCTCAGCATCAGATACTTATTTGAACATTCACAGGTGAGACCCATGCAGGTTCCAATGCACCAAAAAAAAAAGAGGAAGAGGGTGTTTAGAGCATTTCAAAACTTGAGCTTTTTACTCCATTTAAAAAAAAAATAAAAAAAATAAAAAAATAAAAAAAAACAGAATGAATAATGAAGGAAAGAAAACATTTGAAAGACTGAGATGGAGAAACAGAAAATAGTCCATAAGTTAGGAAACACACTAAAAACACTTTCTTTCAGGGAGTTCCAAGTATGAAGGAAATATGTCACTCTGTTTTAATAACAGGATCGTCTTTCAGTCCCACCAATGAAAGATTAACTTTACTTCACCTTCACCATATCTGATTTCTAACTCTAACCTAAGCAAATTTCTCACTTCCACTACGTTCAGGTGTCACTTTCTAATATTATGGGCAAGCCATCCAATTTAAGCTTCACAAGAAACCCAAAGCAATGATGAACAGTTAAAAGAAAAGGTACTGACTACATAAACAGATATGGATATATACAGTAACAGTGGACATACATCAAATAAGCCAACTCGATAAACCAAATCTTTATCATAATTTAGACCAGAAATGAAGTAAGCAGAATGCCTAAAACATACTGTACTCTTCCTAAATCAAGTTTTCTAACTGCAACCGTATGAGAGAAATCTGCAAAGACAGAAAAATTCTGCAAGACTAACCTCATCAGTGACATTGGGATCAGATCCAGCTTTTAATAAACATTTTATTATTTCTGGACTTCCATTATCAGCAGCAATGTGCAAAGGGGTCGCTCCGCCTGCAGTAACATTCACTTTAGCCCCTGCCTGTACAGGAAAAGCACTATTAAGAGTCGTACAGTCATAGCATGAAATAGCACAATTTCTAATAAAATAAAGAAATATAATTATTTCAAGACAGGCCCAAAGGTGCACAAACAGAATCACTTGTATGCTTGTTTAGGTGTACCAACCCATGCCATTGCTGGATAGTAACACCATAAAACTGAGAGATGATGAGAACTACATGAAAGGTCACTTTAGCTCAGCCAAATTTTCAGTCAACCCAAGGATAAATGTTAGTCATAGACATCAATTAAGGACATGCAACATCACATGCAACCAGTAGCACGCATGATGCTACTTCATAATCTTACACATGATTTTTCACCAGAAGGTGAGCAACCATGGGATGGGGAATGAGAATTTAAGTCTTAAAGCTCTTAATGGGGATTTTCTGGAGGATCCCAAGTTGATTAAAGAAGAGATCATTTCTTTTTACAAGCTCTTGTTAGGGTCTAAGTTCAGTCTGAAAGAAGAGGGAGGTGATTTCTCGCAGGAATAGGATTGCCTCAAGTGCAGTATATGCAAAAAAGTGCTCTTGTTAGACCAATAACAGAAGAAGAGATGGAGGATGCAATTTTTAGTATCAAAGCTGACAAGTCCCCAGGTCGTGATGAGTTTAATGCTAATTTTTTTCCAGAAGAATTGGAATGTGATGGGGGCAGATTTAATGGTAGCCTATGAAGCACGGACATGGACACGGACACGGACACAGGGACATGCAAATTTTTAAAAAATAAGGGACACGCAAATTTTTAAAAAATGAGGGACACGACACGCTAAGGACACGCCCAATACATATAATTTTTTTTTTATTTATTATATGTAAAATTAAAAAATATATATTATTTTTATTTATTTATTTATTTTAATATCAAATATCATTCATAATTTTTTTTTTTTTTGTTTACAAATAAAAATAATTTATTCTACATGTTAATGTTTAGCAAACAAGAATATTAAAAAAATAAAATAAAAAATAAAGTAAAAAAGGGGAATATTTTTTGTTACCAAAAACAAAAAAGGTAAAAAGAAGAAATAACAAATAAAAGAGGGAGAGAGTCTAAGAGACGGTCAAACACAAGAAGAGGAGAGAGAGAGAGAGAGTCTGTTCACCCAAAAAAAGAGAGAGTCGAACAAAGAAGCAAGAGGGTCAAATGCAGCGAGAGAGATGAAAGAAGACAACCAGAGAAAGAAGACGAACAGAGACAAAGAAGACGAACAGAGAGATGATGAACAGGTTCAAAGAAGACGAACAGAGAGCACCGAACAAAAGGAGAGAGAGAGAGAGTCAAACACACATAGATTGGAAGAACATACCTCGATCTATCCTCGATCTAGGGTTTCAACAGGTTCTTCACCCTTTCTCCTTCTCTTTCTCCCTCTCTGTCTTCAATGGTTAGGGTTTCTCTCTCTCTATCCCCAATGGGATAGGGTTTCTCTCTCTATCTCCAACGTGTCCATAACGTGTCCAAGAGTGATTGAATAGTGTCTAGCTACAAAAATTCAACAAAAAAAAAAGAAGGAAACACGTTAGGTAGAGTGTCCGACATATGTCCACAGCGTGTCCGACGCATATCCGTGTCCAACACCTATACGTTGCCTCTTGAGAGGTATCCGTGCTTTATAGATGGTAGCTGTGAAGCATTTTTTGCTCAGGTTGAATGTTGAGAGGCTAGAATAGTATTGCTATCACCTTGTTTCCCAAGACAAATTCCCCAAACACTATCAAGGATTTGTGTTCAAAGTTGACTTAATTTTCACCTATGACAGTTGATTGCAGGTTTTCTATTAGTGTTTTGACAATCTCACATGTATTCTTTATTTTATTCATAGTGGAAGTTCTCTCTCCCGTGATGTAGGCAATTTGGGCCGAACTATCTAAATCTATGCGTGATTGTTTTTCTCTTCGGTGTGTTCATGGTGTGCTTCCGTTCTCTATTTAAGGGGATCCCACTTTTTTTGTTAGCTAAAAATTGGTTGGCAGTGTGTGATATGTAGGCTTTTGCTTAAGATTATCTTGTTAGGGTTTTGCTCTTTGTATTCTCATTTTTCTTTTGTAAGAGGATGCCTCATCCTTGCTTCCTTTTTTTTGATTTATCAATATGGAATAAATCCCAACAAATCATCGTGGCAAACACAACTAGAATGTGCTATGCTATGTCTTGCAGGATCGTGGTATAGTTAGGGATAGGCTTCTTCAGTTTCCTCAGTCAGAACGGCATATGTTTGTTAAGAAAATGTGCACTAATATTTACACCAATGTATGATTGTGTACATACAAGATTTTTTAATGAAGCAATGTTCAACAATTTGAGTAATTGGCCTCATTCCTTTATCCTTGGAAGATGATGTTTCACCTCATCTAACGAAGCTGGAGATTTTAAATTGTTGGGATCTGATTCGAGACATTGGATTAAAAAAAACTAGCTAATGGCATAAGTTTGTTAAGAAAATGTGTACTAATATTTACACCAATGCATAATTGTGTACATACAAGATTTTTTGATGAAGCAATATTCAACAATTTAAGTAATTAGCCTCATTCCTTTATCCTTGGAAGACAATGATGTTCCACCTCATCTAACGAAGTTGGAGATTTAAAATTGTAGGGATCCGATTCGAGGCATTGGATTAAAAAAACTAGCTAATGATGTTTGAACTTTAGCCATGAAATCTTGAACCAAGTGGAGTAGGTTGATCTTGTGCCCTGTGTCATTTGATTGTGCGTGCTCTTGTTGAGTACCTGTACCATCTTGATCATGCTCTAAAAATTGCCATATCAATCCTCTAATCTCATTTTGGGAATCATCAATCATTGTATCCTTCATATAACATCCCATTTTTTTGAACGGTCCATCACTATATTTGTCTTAAAATCATATTAATGGCCAAATGTTGGAATGAACACATTAAAAAAAAAAAAAAACAACCCTTAACTAGCTCGTGATGCATTCAGCCTATTTTATTACTCCCTCCGACCTCTATCTCACATTGTTAGTCCTTTTTCCCTATTTGGTATGTCCCGAAATGTCAGTCCTTCAAAAGTCAAAGCATAAAATTTTTAAATTTTCCAAAACTATCAAATATGTGTGACAATATGAATATATTTAACAATGGAAATATAAAACAATTTGGCAAACCAACGCCTTTAAATTTGAATTTGAATGCATTATTGTAGGTCCCCTTAAAAAGTTGAAACTCCCAAAAAGGACTAACATTGTGGGATGGAAAAATACAATTAATAAAGAGAACATGTAAACAAGAATAGACTAAACAAAATCCAACCTTATAACAAAACTAAGGACTTGTTTGACAAAATTTTTGTTTTCGATTTTCTAATTTTATTCTCAAAAATTTTGAAAAATATAAAAAATAAAAAATAGTTTGTTAATTGCCATCATTTCCAAAAATAAATAAATAAATAACAGATTCGAAAATTTTCAAAATTTTAGGAACCAAGAAAAAAAGTGTTTTTATTCATTTTCAAAATAGGTTTTCATTCCTTTCTAACTCCCCACCACATCCGTTCACCACCATTGGTAGCCACCCCCACTGCTAGCGACCACCTCCGATCAACCAACAATAGGCCACCCCCACTGCCCAACCACCTTTAGCCACTCCACACCTTTGATCACCACCTACAGCAACTAAGGATGTTCAAATTACCCAATGAACCGAAGAACCAAAACAAATCGACCTCTTTGAGTTGGGTTGGGTTGGTTTTGAGTGCATTGGTTTGATTCTGGATCTTTAAATCAGCAAACCAATAGGATTGGGCTGGTTCTTGGTTTAGGTCTTGCCTAAACCAAGCCAACCCGAGAATCCACCATATATATATATATGTATTGTTAAAATCCACCTACTCTCCACCTACTTCACCCACTTAAACCTACTCCATTAAACCTAACCCACTACACCACTACCACCTCCACTTCACCTACTCCTTACCTACTACACACTCACCCCCTTCTATATATAGGAATCATGAATCATTGTAATATATATAACATTACATCAATCAATAATAATACATACAATTTATTCTCTCTCTTTCTCTATACATTATTTCTTACATCTTACATATATATATATATATTTATATATATATATTACAATTTTATTTATATTTGATATGCTGTCACTTAATTGGTCTGTTACAATGGACTTGGTAGCTCCGAATAAATTCCACACACAAAAATTATTAGTGAACGAACAAAGGACTAGAAGCTTGAGTTGGATTTCGTAATTGATTTAATTTGTATTGGTTGTATTAATGGATTTAATTTGTACTGGTTATGTTTAAGCTTGAGTTGGATTTAATTTGTATTGACTTGCATTAAACAATAATATTTTATTTTTTGTTTGTGTTATGTTTAAAGTTTAAAGACTTGTTTATTTTAATTATTTATTATTGATTAATTCACTTATTTTTAATATAGTGGAACCGTGGTTCTAACCCAAACCAACCCGAGCTAATTGGATTGGGTTGGGTTGGGTTGGTTCTAGTGTATAATTAGTTTGGTTCTGGGTCCAAAAACTTGGAACAGAATATAATTGGGTTGGTTCTAAATTTAGTGTCAAACCGAACCAAACCGACTATGAACACCCCCAACAGCAACTCATCAAATATGTTGTCATTGTTTTTGTTTTATATGTTTTGAAAACATATAAGCTAGCTAAATATGTTATCCTTTTTGTAGGTAGCATTAACAAATGCCACCAAATTGTTCCATATAACATTGTTGGAATACGGAATGTTGAAATATGGAAGTGTTGGAATATGTAATGTTGAAATATGGAATATTGTATATTTAATTTAGGAATTTAATTTTAAGATTTGATTGTGTAATTATTTAATTCCTTTTTCATGTATCTTACATTGATTATATATAGACATGGTCTCACCCAAATTAGGGTAAGCCAATATTTTATAACTCTCTTCTTGGTATCAGAGCTCAAAAATCCTAGCATTATTGTGGGCATGTGCGTACATCTGGGTAAGAGCACTCCACAACCGAGGAACTGCATCACAGTACATAAACATGTTGTAGATGCGTTCTTCCATAGAGTTGAACATCCAACCAAGTAAGGTGCAATTGTCAATATCCCATTGAACCCGCTTAGGATCATCAGCGGGAGGTTGTATCTCGGTTTCCAAAAGCCATCCAGATTTGCCTCTACCCCCAAGGTAGAGACGTATAGACTGACTCCAAGCCGCGAAGTTGCGACCAGTGAGCAACACATTGGTAATCCGATGAACCGGAACATGGGAGGCCAAGGAAACATCTGAACGAGGTATAATGCTCTGAGTTTGTGTAACAAAGTCAGACATGCTGAAACACGACGAAGCCAAAGTAGCGGCGTCACACAAAAGAGATGCTACCGAACACACCGGTAGCCCAACACAATAGAAAATCAAACTAGAAAGTGCTTACCACATTAGCACATGAACCGTAGAAGGGTAAACAGAGAAGAACAACACCTAGGAGGGGAAGCCGCACTAGACCCAAGGCAAAGAGGGCCTAGTCAGCACCTAAGGAAGCTGCGGCAGTGAGGAAAAGGGACTGCCAAGGGGCTGAGAAGGAAGAGGAAAACTTTTGGCTGGGAGGAGGGAAGAAGAAGAGTTGTCGGGTGGCTGGGTAGGTGGTTTAGGGCTGCCGGCAATAGAAGACAAGAGTGGTGGGTGGCTAGGGTTTGGGCGGGTGGCTAGGGTTTGGCTCTAATAACAAGAAGAGAGTTATAAAATATTGACTTACCCTAATTTGGGTGAGACCATGTCTATATATAATCAATATAAGATACATGAAAAAAGAATAAAATAATTACACAATCAAACCCTAAAATTAAATTCTTAAATTAAATATACAATATTCCATATTCCAACACTTCCATATTCCAACAAACATTGTGAATATACGAAGAAGTGCTCCAATTCTTTTTTGCTAAAGATGTAGTGCTGCCTCCATTTACCATCATAACATAATACACAAAATAGGCATCACCATATGATTGTGCAACATTTTATGATTAATAATACGATCATAAGCTCAGAAACATGGACACACGACATGACATGTGACACTATACAACATGTTGAAATGTAAATTCTAAAAAAATGCAAGACATGACATGGGGGAGAAACATACAAATAAATAGTTATAAATATTTATGTCTTTATTTGAAAATTGAATCTTTTATTTAAAAATACTGGGGAAAAAAAAAGGGAGCAAAATAACACTAACTAAAATTGAAACCATGCCTCCTAATTTATGCAGTGCCAATAGCTAAGAGACCACCACAAAGTGTATGGGTGCCTCACTTCAGTTGTATGGGTGTGTGACTAATAAAGTTCAAAAAACATATTAGAAGGTAGAATTGTCAATTATCTACCAAGCAACTGTTGTCCAACAAATAATCAATAATATATTGCATTTTTATTATGAGAGGCTCAACTGTATGAATTCTCCAGAAATATACCAAATCATGTGATTTGAAGATTGACTAACATGATTAGATGCAAATTTCCAAAATAAGCTTCCCCAACAAATCAAACATTGGCATATGTGCAAACAAGCAATTCAATCAAAAACTAAGTGGGAAAACTGATAGTTGAATCTTTTCTGTAACTAGTAATGAAGAAATCATCCCTGTGCAAGTCAACAAACTCAAGACACTATAAGCAACAGCAATAAGGAGGATAAGCATGCAAGTAAGCAGCTACAGAGCACAGAATTAAGAAAATTACACAACCTGAATCAACAACTCTAAGCATGCCAGTGAACCAGCCGCTACAGATGACAGCAGTGGAGTGATATTATCATCGGTTTCAGCATTAGGCTGGAAAAGATTAAAGAAATAAGCATTACACTAGAGAAGACATAAAACATAATACAAAAAATAAAAATAAAATAAAAAAATGTTCCTGCTTTATAAAGAGAGAAAAACTTCCAATTACAAGAGACAAAAATAAAATAAAATAAAATCAGTAAGTAAATCTGCAGAGATGAATGTAAATAGAATGGCACCCCTTAGGTCTAGAACCTAATAAAACTGAAATAAATATAACTAGCAGCATGTTGACTTATAGAAAGCATAAAACTACGACTTAATAACAAACCCAAATTACAATACGCAAGGTCCCAACTAGGCCAATATGAGATTTCCTAGTTCCCCTTATTCATCTTCCATTCAACGCATTAACTAATAATATACAAGGGACAACAGACAAGTGATCAAGACTGCAACACTGAACACAATTAAAATTTTGACTAAAAAATTTGCTCCCAAAACATTTTTGAAAGGCAAGATCAAAACAAGGAAATACAAAACCAACACAAAAACAAAGTTTTATGTCATCTAAAACAAGAAGATATATCTCCTAGAGAAGTAAAATACAAAATTTTAGTAGCTGGATATATTATTAACATATTCACACTGTTCTCATTGTTCATTTTTGTAAAATGCCCCACTAGCTGTGGGATTTTGGCCCCTCAAAATTACGTATCTGCCCTCATCATACGTTCGTTCTTTATGAAGTGAACATGTGACATGGAAATTATGTAATCTCTAAGGAATTTAAAAAAACAAACAAACAAACAAAATGCAGAGAAGAATAGCCCAAGCAGTTTTCTAAACTTTCGATGTGGTTGCCGATGTGGTTGATCAAAGAACTTTGGTGACGGAACGAGGTCCACCAATGCAGAGAATGATATCACTGTTGGGTTTTGAAGTGTCAAGGCTCATCAAAAAGCCTCTAGTGGACAGTTGGGGAGGGGATATCTCGAGGAGGCCAAACGTTGCTGGAGGTTCACGGCATTGTCAATCAGGGATTCCTTTTTGGAGGGGGGGATTTCTGGGGGAAAGAAGCATGAGATGTTATGTATCCCTCAGTTAGAGTTCCATGAATGATGGAAGGGTGTTGCTAAGGTGTTGCAAGAGTTAATCTTGGTACGGTGGGCCTATCGAGATCTTTCACAAAGGTTGTGGCAATTCGAATCTGGCCAAAGAACGCGGAGGTTCCAGTGGGTGTACAGTCTCTCAATAGTGGACATACCTTTTACCTCTTAGTATTTACGGTGATGTGGAAGCGCAACGAATATTGCAGAGAGATTAGACCGTCAAAGTCAACCCCTTGCTTGATTGGTGTCCAATAGGGGGTTTCTACAAGTCAGGATAGGAACCACAGGATGTTTGGGTTTGTGTTATGGCTCTGCTGACTCACTAGTGTGAGGTGGTCTTTCAAGATGTGGGACTTGTATGGTGGCTTTTGGGGTTAGCATAAGATACAACTTGGCATAAACATTTCAGATGGCCTTCCAAGCATAAACATTTCAGATGGAGAACAAATTCCACCATTGGTCAAGATTGGTAGGGCTGCTTGAGGTTCATGGTTCCTCCTTGGGCAAAGTTAGGCCTCAAAGTTGAGTATCGACAGAGTTTTGTTGAAGGGAAGTTGGATGCATCTCTACTAGTGCTAGAAACGAAGGTGGCGACCTTACAAGATCAAACAGGCGGCAACTTTCTAAGGAAGCTAAGTTGACTTGGATTAGAAGTACATTATCCAACCATCCTACTTATTTCATGTCTCTGTTTACTGTTCTGGTTTTGGTGGTGAAGCAGTTGGAGAAAACACAGTGATTTTCTTTATGGTGTAGGGCAAGGAACTTAAAAATCACGTGTTGGATTGGGATATAGTCCACCCTCCAATAAGAGAAGGAAGACTGGGCATCTGCAGGCTTACTATCTGGAATCAAGCTTTGTTTGGGAAGTAGTTGTGGATATTGCTTGTGAGAGAGGTATTGGCACAGGGTTGTGGAGTGCAAATATGGGATGAATCCGAGAAGGCATCCAAAAAGGGTGGGATTCTTTCTTGTAAATGGGGATCTAGTAAGGTTTTGGAGCCATTGCTGACGCAAGGAGGACAGGTTAGAGGTGGTCAACCCTAATATTGTTCAAGTTGCTCGTAACTGGGAGGCTTCTGTGAGCGAATATTTGAAGATGGTGATCATGTATTTTAGGATATTACCCTTTGGACGCAGCTAAATAACTGGGAGTTGGAGGACCTAGAAGATCTTCTAGCTTGCTTATATGCTAACCACTCTGCTGACGGAGGTGATATCATTCGATGAAGGAGATCTTCTTTAGGCTAGTTTTAATGTTGTCAAGTCTTTCCATGATACTCTCAAGGGTCATAGAGGGTCTTTCTTCCCTTGGAAAGAGGTGTGGGCTATTAAGGCACCATCCAAGTTGGCTTTCTTGTTTGGTACATGACTCATGGCAAGTTCCTCATTATGGACAACTTAAGGAGGAAGCAAGTGCATGTCAATTCATGTTGTTTGTGCGAACGTGATGAGGAAGATGTGAGGCACCTTTTCTTTTATTGCGAGATGGCAAGATAATTCTGGTCCATGATCTTAATTTTGTTTGGAGTGGATTGGACGTTCTCTTGACTTGTGGGGTCATGTCTTTGCTCTTGGAGACATGATCATGTAGGGAGGAGGAAGAAGCTTTCGTGCTCAGCCCCTTTGGAAACTATGGCTTATGTGGGGAGAAGGAATAGAATTGATGGCAAAGAAGTTTCAGTTTTGAGATTGAAAAGGTTTTCAGGGCAGTTAATCCGTCTTTGAATCTATTTTTGTACTCTGTAGAGGCTTTTAAATTGGTTTTTGGTGTATAGTTGACTCGGCTTTCCTTTTATCTGTGTATGGGTTGCACCCCCGTGTCTCTTATTAATAAAATTCTTTTAACTTATTTAAATAACTAAATAAACCTTTTAGATATATTTAAAGAAAAATTAGACATTAAACAAATAAAACAAACTGTAAGCATAGTGGCTTACATCAGCATGGTTTTCTAGCAATACTCTCACAGAATCTGGTTGGCCATGACCAGCAGCCCAAATCAGAGGTGTACCAGCATCACTTTGTGAATCAACACCTACACCTTTGGAAATTAAGAACCTCAGCAACTCAATATCTCCTGCAAAGTTTAGTTACTTGAAATGAGTACACATGCCTTAGTTCTTTTACCCACACAAAGGTTGAACCCCAAAAAATATTGTAAACATGGATATCGTGGTCCGGCCACATTAATAGAAACCAGCAGCAACATCAGGCAGAACAAATTAAATAATGGTCTACACAGCCATGGAAAATATTAGACAACGCAATTCTGTTCTCTATTCCATTAATATTATCGAGGAAGGAAGATAGTCAGTCAGCTATTAATTCTTATTTGATATTATATTTCCAATCAATAATAAAAATATTAAACAGAATGAAAAGTAGAGGATGATATAGACTAATTATAGGAATGACAAAGAAAGAGAAGATATGGTCAAGCAAGAAAGAGAGAGAGAGAAGATAGGAGAGGGAGGTAATGGTGTGACAAGAACCTAGAAACAAAGGCAAAGCAGATAAGCATAATAGATTAGAAAGAAAATAGATATCTGCGAGAAGAAAAATGTAAGAATTAAAGAAGAGGGGGGGGAGAGAGAGCCCATTTCCTTGACAAGGGTACGGACAAAACTTTATTCCCATTGTAGGGTGGGTTACTGACTTTTTTTCCCATTATATGGTAAACCAGCATTTGTAAAGCCGTTTTCCAAAATACAGTTTGTCTAAAGCCATTTTCTTCCTGCCAAAGTTGATTAAAATAATAACAAAAATATTACCCAGAAACTGGCTTTTCTAAAAGCTGTTTTTAATTAAGTTACACTAATTATCTTAACTAATTAAAAACTGCTTTTGAAAAGCCAATCTCTTATTGGACTTGACACTGCTTTCATCTTATCATTTGAATTGACTTCATTGAAATTGTCTTTTGAGCACTACATTGTTTTTGACAAGGGGAGCCTTGAGTTTTAACAAAAACTGGTATTGAAAAGATGCCCTTATGATAGGGGGCAGTGTTTTTAAAGGCTCAAGGCGCACTAAGGCGCCGAAGGTCTCTTGGAGCCTAGGCACAAAAACTGGTATTGAAAAGATGCCCTTATGATAGGGGGAGTTTTTGTTCTTTCTAAAATTCCGTTTTCATTAATTTTCTCCATAGTGTCAACCCCAAAAAGCAGTGTCGCAATAATGGAAATTCAGAGACCAAGTGTCGACACCAAGACACAGTAGTGTCGACACCCTGAATTAACAACTTTTAATATTACAAATGTGTCTAGGGAGTGTCATGACATGACACGTGTCTTGCACAAAAAAATCAGACACCACATAGCATGTTCAAAGAGTGTCTATGTGCAACAAGTGTCAGACACAGATACAACAACTAAAATAAAGTGTTTGTGCTTCATAGAAGGAATCTTATGAAATGCAGCGCTATACATTTGTAGATACGTGCAAACATAGATGCAAATATTTGTGAATCAGAACCAAGACTCGAAATCTAGGCCAAACCAGGCCCGACCCAGCACAAGTAGCACTGTGCCAAGAATTTTAGTGTTGTGCTTGTTCTGGTACAAACCTAGCTACTCACTCTTACTACCCAATCCCTTTGTATAATTAACTGAACCTTTAAATACCATTAAAGGATTGCAAAGATTACCAAAGCTAAAACTGTAGATAAAAAAAATATAACAGATCTAAAATGAGAGAGAGACTTAACCAATACATAAATATATGCACGTATCTCTATAGTAGAAGGAGAAATTAAACATTGCTTCCAAAACACTAGTAGGACACAACATAGATGCTTTTCATGCCAAGGCATCCGTACAATTAGGGATGTGCATAATACCGCCGAAACCACCAAAACCGCACCGAGCCGCACCGCGAAGGCAAATTCGTTATTATTTGCCAGTCAAACCGCCGGTTTTTGGTAAGAAAAATGGCAAATTCTAATGACACTTTTATCAATCCGCCGGTTTCTATTTTTCTTCCAAACCGCACCGACCCGCACCGCTATTAAATCATGTTTTATAAGATTCTAAAAATTTTTTTTTACTTAAGTTTGATTGTTGTTCTATACCTTTGAATATAGTATTACATTACTGCTCGAGGGGAATTCAAGATGTCAGTAATCCAAAATAAAGTTGGATTCCAATTCACTTTTCAATCTTTTTTTTTTTCTGGCCATGTTGCAAACTTGCATCAGCTCACTTTGCAATGTAAATACTTTTCAACAGTAAACATTTTCAATATATTGTAAACCCTGAATGATATTAATTTTATGTATTGTATTTGATCATTGTAGCTTCCACAGATGCTTGTAATGAACTGATGGCATAGTCGTTGATATTATCATGTTGTTGCTACACTTGCTGCATCAGAAGAAAGCTTCGCAAGATGCTTAACATCACGATATCTCTCGTCTTTTTTTTACTCTTTGATTTAAGTTTTGTAGTTTGAATTATATTTTTTATAAACCCCAAGGCAAATCCGCCATTATTTGTCAACCGAACCGCCGGTTTTTGATAAGGAAAATGGCAAATTATAGTGACACTTTTATCAATCCACCACCCGCCATATGGTTTCTATTTTTCTCTCAAACCGCACCGACTCGCACCGCGCACACCCCTACGTACGATAAGGTGGAAACAAATTTTGTGTAATATAATAGAAAATGCAAGCAGCACAGAGATAGTCATCCATTTTTCACATACAGAGAAGATATTATATCAACAACAAAATCAAAAGTGCTCCAAGGAAAATGAAATAAATGTACACCTATTCCAGCAGAATGATGCAGAGTTGTAGCCCCCAGCTCACTGGGTATAGCAGGATTAGCACCACACTCAATAAGGTATTTGGCAGTGGTGGTATGTCCTTGCCGAGCAGCATGAAGAAGAGCAGTTTCACCTGTAAAACAAAAGAAATTTCAAAACATAATCAGAAGCAGCCTAATAAGAATGAATGTGACATTTTCAGTGAAATTTTGGGTGCTACAAAAGTAATGCAAAGTGTAAGTAAATATGCTGACCATTCAAACAATAACAGAACTTTTTGAATAATATAGATATGTATAACATTAAAACCAACTCAACCTGACAAGAGAATATAATTGAATTTACAGATCTTATCAGGAGTGAAGATTTTGTGGACTAGTAATGGGAAACAGGTGACTCAAAGTTCAAATGGATTCACCATAATCCTCTGAAACACAATGACGAGTGACAATAGGAGGTCCACGGTGGAATTTCATGAGAAAGGCTTTAAACAATACCACATGATACATTTGTTTCCCCCCTCTATGAAATCCAGTGAGTTAGAAATTAACAATTATCAATAGTGACTCCAACCAAGGTTGCTTTCCTTATTTGTAAACTCAACAGAATTAGAAAAGCATTACACATGAACGGCGCAGATCTCTATTCTGTTTCAGAAACACATGGATATTGGCTTGATATCAAAGCATTATTGCTATAAAAAGGTAATCACTGAGAGATTTATGTTTTGGAAGCACACATTTCAAAACATGATATCTTTTAGTTCCAACACCAAAACATTAAGCATACAGTACTTTCCTGTTTCATCATTTAGTTTTCTAATCTATAGTCAGAAAATTGAAAAATAATGTAATAACCAAAAAGATTTTCTTAAGAAAAGATTTTAAGAAACACACAGCAGATCAATGGCCTTACCTGTATAAGTTGTAAGTTTTGTGTCATTAATTTCTGAAGCAATAAAATTTATAGACATAAAACTGTGAGTTTAACGTTGTAATTTATCATTAATCATCAATAGCTAAGAAATGATGTAGACATCTACAAATGCCCCAGTCCTCTCTTAAGTGATCTACATATATCACAAGCCTAACCCAAAAATACCATGTGCCAAAGTGCATGGCATAATATGTTATCATTCCAATTGCAGATTACAATATACCTTGGATGACTGTACACATCATAAAGTTGAGAAACACAAAAAGAAAATACTACTTAACAAACTAAACCAAAATAACAAATCAAAGCAACAAAAACTATACAGGTCTAAGAATGCATGGAAAAAGGACAAATTATTAAATTACACCGTGCATTTTGATATGTGTTACTACTATTTTATAAATTGATCCATAACTAACCCTATTGACAAGATGCAATGCTAATCTCAAACATCCTATTTTTTGGGTCAAGTATCCATTATGCATCCCATGTACTTAAAATTTGACGGGCCATTGTGATCTATGAAGCGTGGATACTTCTAAAAGGGAGACGCATCCGTATTGGATACCGATACTCCTTCGATACTACCAAATACTCCTTCGATACTCCAAGTCACATATTACTTGTTTTATGAAATTAGAATTATAACATTTCTTGCATAGCTTTATAGTATACCTTAATTCAGAGGATAAATACAATAATATTTTTTCTATACTTTGCTTAGTTTTTTGAAAAGGAGCATAGTGAGTTAAAAGCTATGAAGCACGGGTACTCCAAAAATGTTATCGTACAAGTACCGGGTACTTACCGAATGAGGGTATGCGTACCGGTACGGCTGCACGCGTGCTGGGTACACCGTATATGTACCGGGTACGCCGTGTACAGTCGAGGGAAGTTCGGTACACGATGGGTACTCAATAGGTGCGAAGTGGTTGCTCCACAACAACTGATTTTTTTTCTTTTTTTTTTTTCAAAAGTTGAAATTTGATGCAAGTCTACAGCCTTAATCATCTTCATAAAATTTATGTAATTTGGAACCACCAACTCGTTACACTGTTAGTGAGTAACTTTGCCCTCTTCCACTTATTGTTGTATAGTATTGTATTTGTATTGTTGAATATTGATTTATTTCGAGTTTTGTAATTTCTCATTATAGCTATTGTTTTGAACTTTGATTTGTAGATGGAATGTTTAGCTATAAATTTAAAAAATAAATAAATAAATAAATATTTGACGTACCCTAGCCATACTTGTACCTCACCTTTTTCGATTTTAGCATATCGGTGTACCCATATCGTACCTGTACCTATCCCCGTATCCGTACCGACACTTGTGCTTCATAGGTTAAAAGTAACAAAATTTGTCAAATTGATGTATCATTATTGTATCACACATTGTCCCATATAACTACATAGAAAGTAAGAATTAACAAGCTAATATAACAATAGTAAAATTAAATATCAATAAATAAATAAATAAGCAAGTAAACTTGCATACAACATTTTTGACTAGTGTAAAAAGGAATAGCACATGGACTAGTTCACGTGGATTGTTCACATGTAAAAACTCATGCTCTAAGATGATAGTCTTTCTACTTTTGATCTTCCACTTCAAAAAACATAATGACATCATTGTTCGAGCTCATATTGTCAATTGTAATTGTGAGAAGCTTATTGATCCCCCCTTCCAATAAACAATGCTCAATCACCTTACCAAGTGTCCCTTCATAAATAATGACATACAATCCTTTGCAACCGTAGTCCTAGATGGGATTTTTAGCCACCAAAATGAATCATTTAAATTCTTCACCTTCCACAAATTTGTAAGGCAGTTCATATTATGATCATCTCCACTAGAGCCTTTCTACATGCATCCACACTAAAGCTTATGGCCACAATATTACCAATTGCTTCCCCATCACTAGTTTCTTTCTTGGGTTTGAAACCTAAGTTTGCTACTCATATTGGCTTGAGAGATACATTTTACATTGTGATTCTAAATGAGTTAGCATGCATTTCGTCCCATTAACCTTAGGATCACATGCATAATCCACACCATAATAGTTATATCATCAATCAAATAACAGCACTAATATAACACATGTATAATCTATACCTTGGCTATGTACCAAAATCTACCAAATTAAATAATGGCAATGTACCAAACTAAACAGACTTCATGCACCAAAATCTATGTATAATCAAACAGTGGCTATGTATGTATAATCAAAACACAATATATACCATGCACTAAAATCCAACAATGACTATAATCAATTCACATATGCTACCAAAGATCGTAAAGAATAGTTGAAAGTCCAATAGCCTTCACCAAAATCTATGTTAATCAAACAGTGGCTATGATTAATTAAAACACATTCCATACCACGCACCAAAATCCAACAGTGGCTATGAGTAATCAAAACACTATCTATTTAATTAATTGAAGGGGCAAAAATTTAGGCCCTCAAAATTAGGGTTTTTGAAACAAGGGTTTTGAAATTAGGACAACAAAATTGAGGCTTTTCAATTATTTTCATTTTTAGGGTCTATGTATAATCAAGGGGTTTGAAATTACCTTAGAGTGAGGTGAGGGACTCAAAAGATTGAAATTATTAAATTATGGAAACCATAAACCAAACCGATAAAAAAATATTAAATCCAGACCAAACCAAACGTTCAGTAAATGGGAATTGACTGAAAACCGGTTGTGGTTTTTCTTTCACCCAAGGTTTTAAAAAGCGGCCGCAACCGTTACGTAACGGTTTTGGTGGTTACCGCCACCCATTACGACCGCTTTTGCAGTGTGATTGAGATTCACAGGTGTGTCGGCCGTAGCGACTGCTATAGCGGTCGTAACGGTGCCGAAACGGCCGTAACGACCTGTTACGCACCATTACGTAACGGTTTCGAACTGTTTCTTTTGAAAAAATAAAAATAAAAAAATTGAAAATGGGGGAAGACGGATAGAGAGAGAAGAGGAAAGATGAAAAGGGAAGATGGAGGAATAAGAGATAGAGAGAGAAGAGAGAACATGAAGAACATGTTATTAATTTGTTAAAGCTGTAAGACCTATGTTATTCTATTCAGCGACTATCATTCAACCATTTTGTTTGGGCGCGTCTATCTATATATTGTTTGAAAATAATAATAATAATAATAATAATAAGTGTGATTATTATCTATTTATATATATATATAAGCTATTATTTATTCTTTTACTTTTGTCATTGTGATCGATTTTTTTGTAAAATATCTAGAAAACATAACATCTGTAATTATATATTAATACATTTTTATACATGTCAATTTCTTTTGATTAGTTTATTTTATTTTTATTTACTAGTTATCCAAAAAGAAAATGAATATTCAAGTGATCCAAACTCAAACAAAAAAAAAATTCTTTATAATTTATTTTTTAATTTTTATATGATTATATTAACATGTATAATTTATTTTTTAAAACTATTCAATTAAAAGTTGCATATGCTTCCACAAGTATAATAATTAAAAAAATAATTTTATACATCTAAATCCAATAAAAAAAATTTGTTGTTGCCACAAGCATAATATGAACATATAAAGTCATTAATTATTAAAATAAAATGTAAAAAAACTCAGTTTATAGTGATTTAAAAGTATGAAATATATTGGATCATATTTAAAATTTTATAAAAATTTATCAATATTTATTTTAAAACCCAATAAATATGATTATGAAAAAAAAAATATGCGTATCGGTAAGTTTTTTTTAATTGTGCGAAAAATAAAAAAATTCACGGTTCCAGTTACCGCAACTGTTACGCTACGACCTTTACACTCCGCAACCGCTTTTCAGAACCTTGCTTTCACCCCTAATACACATTACAAAATTACAATTTACAGCTATGTCAAAACATTAAGCATATACACTGTTTCATTTGTGCTAAATTATTCCTTGTTATATGATCATAGTATCAATCATCTATAGAGGGACGGCTTCAGCACTCTTCAATGTTTTTGCCATAAACAGCTCTACAAACCAGAAATGATGTCTGTTTGTTGGAAGTGAAACTAGACTTCCTCGGCTTTAAAATGGTCAAGGACTTGCATTTAGTTCCATGCAGAAAAATAGATATTAAATATTGAAATAGATTCTACTGCTGTTCTTAGACAGCAATGGCACACTTTAGTATTTTGGCTATAACTCACTCAAGGAATCCTGAAATGACACACCATTTTTAGCATTAGAAACTAGACTCACTTATCTTTCAAAGTGTGTAAACCAATGCAAGCCAAGATGTGCAAGTACAATCAGTTTTAGATGAGAATAGACCCCATTTTCAGCTTCAGCAAATTTGTCCAGCAATGACACCTAGGTACTTTTTTTTTTTTTTTTTGATCAGCATGACACCTAGGTACTGTTTTGGCCATAACTTGTTCTAAGAATTTCAGAAATGTAATGGAAGACTTTAAAGTCCATCACTTTCCATCAATTTATGTTTGCAAATGTTCTTTTTTCAATTAAGCTTTCCTTTCGATTAAGTGAAAGAATTTTAGCATTAGAATAGTATTTCATACTTTAAACCAAGTCTTTTTTACATCTTCCATTCTCTTTGATTTCTCTTCTTCTCCCTTTCCTCCTCACTTTTCCCACTCTTTCTCTCTTTCAAAACAAAATGCCTCCAGCACAAGTTAGGAGCTCTCCCCTTCTCCCTCTACTTTTATATTTCTTATAAGATTTGCACGCAAAATAATATAATTGTAATGTATTGTGCAAGAATTGTAATTGTCGAGAGTGTATTGTGCAAGCATTGTAAATAAGCATGAGGTGTATAATTGAAGCATGCGGTGCCTTTAATATATTCTACCACCATAGCACACTTGTTGACAAATCATCCATTCTCTAATTAATCCTTATTAAACTTAATTAATTCAATTTATCCTTAATTAATCAAATGCAACTCCAATGAACTCCAATTAACCCCATTTAACTTAGCTAACTGTGGCTTAACCACACTTATTAATCATGCTTGGCTTAATCAATCACACTTGGGCTCAATTAAATGTACTTACGTCTCAATTAATCACAACTAGTCTTAATTAATCATAATCATAATTACACACAATAGACAAGATGGTAGCATTAACTCAATTCACTCAAGCCCTTTGATTAGGTTAAATAAAGCTAGGTTGATCACCATCAATCAAAATAAACAAGCATTATCTATGAAATCCCCTACAAGAACACAATGACATTCATTTCTCACATTAGAATTTCCAACACATTTGAATGTTATTTAAACATGTAATGAAAATGGTAGGATTGGGGTATTACACTCTGTACCCCAGTTAACTGATCAGTAGAAAAGTAACATTGCGCCACCTCCAACTAGAATTTTCACAATGAGGCTATTTGGTGCAACTTGTAACAAGTTAAAAGCTGATAATCATAAATGAGGGACTAAAAGCACCTCTCCTCCCGCTTTTAACTTATTTTTTTTTATTTTTTTATTTTTTTTTTTGTATTGATAATTGATGTTTGGGCCAGCTAGTGCGCACCTCAACGAATCCCAAGGCCCTGGAGTTAACAACCGGATAAACCTCCAGTGGCCCTTGGGGTGACTGAAACTCGAGACCTTATATTTTATCCTCAAGTCTTTACCGCACAGCTAGCCCCTGGGGTTAACTTATTTAAGTAATTTTTGTCTCATAAAGTATTGCACCAAACATACACGAATTTCCAAAATTTAAAAAACTAAGTGGGTGTTTGGGAAGTGGGTTTTTATGTAGGTTTTTTTAATTATAGGATATTATTGGAGAAAAAAAAATTTGGTATTTGCGAAGATAGTTGGGTTTTTTTGTGGTTGGATGTAATGTTTGTGAGAGAAAAAGTGAAATGATTATGAGGTTGGATGTGATATTTTATTTGGACGTGTTTTTTTTAGTTTTGCAAAAACTTTGTCTTTTAGTAAAAAAAAATCAAAAAAAACCCAACAAAAAATCTTCCCAAACACCGCCTAAATAAACTATAAAACAGCTCCACAAGCTGCACGAAACAGTCCCAACAATATTCATGTGTTGCATTGCAAATTAAAGTACCGTAATGTTCATTAAATGCTAATACTAAACAACACAGAGCTACATATATCAAAAACACATGCATTGACTTGTGCAAGTGTGAATGTTAATGTGAATATCTAGAGTATAAGAAAAGCATATACCATCCTCATCTTTTGTGTCCACATCGAGTTTCAACTCCTCCAACAAGTACTTGCAGACCTCAGTCTTTCCTTCCCTGGCAGCAAAATGAAGAGCCCCTCGTTTATTAGCATCCTTAACATCAGCAACTGTCTTGGCCAAGCCTTTCCCATCATCGAGCTGTGCTGCTAACTCTATTCAGAGCAAAAAAGTTGAAAAATATATTGAAATAGGCAAAAACAATTTGAGTAAAAAAAACTTCATGAGAAGCGAATTTGCAAAAGAAAAGTTGAAAATTACTCTTGAAAAGATCGAGATTTCCGGTACGAGCAGCGTTCAAGAACTGTTCAACTTTTTGCCTCACTGAAACCAGAGAGAGAGATGAGTTAACACAACTGCAACATCAAAATATGTAATAGAGAGAGAGAGAGAGAGAGAGAGAGAGAGAGGACCTGCTAGGGCAACAGAAGCATTAGGAGCCATTATTATTTATTGATTGATTGATTTAGGTAGAAGAAGGTCGAAAGAAGCCTGTTATGAGTTTTCTACTTTGTAGTTGCAGCCCAGTAGTACTTGTACTTTGCGTAGTACGGTATATATGCAAGAGGAAGAAAGGAGAGGGCTTCGACCGCACGGCCCGTTCGGCGGAATCCGGGTCACTTGTTCGAAGAGTCCTGACTTTTCTGTACGACATATTGACCGGCGGAATCACCTAAAATGGTCATCTGTCAAAAAAAAATAATTATTATAATAATTTGAGTAATGCTGAGGGCGTTAAATAAATAATTATGTCACATGATATTTATTTAATTATAATATTTTTTAAATTTTTTTTTGACGATTTAGTTAAAATTAACATTTGAATTAAAAAATAAAAATAAAAAAATAACAAATTTTAAAATTTAATTTGCTCCCTCCTTTCTCTTTCTTTTTCTTTATTAATAAATTAATTAATTAATTTTTCTCTTTTCTCTGCTCTCTCATTTTACATATCAATTAATTAAATTTTCTCTCACTCTCATATAGTAAACTACAAAAAAATATATATAAAAAATTACAAATCATTCTAAAATTATTTTTAAAATTTATAGTCAAACAAATTTTCAATTGTCAAAACTTTTTTCAACAATTTAAGGGAGATAAATAAATAATTAAATATTTCACATATTTATTTAATTATAATATTTTTTTAAAAATTTTGACAATGTTCGATTTAGTTTTAAAATTAATATTTGAATCAAAAATTAAAAAGAAATTAACAAATTTTAAAAATTAATTTTCTCCCTCCTCTCACTTTCTCTTTCTTTATTAATAAATTAATTAATTAATTTTTCTCTCTTCCCTCCTCTCTCATTTTATATATCAATTAATTAAATTTTCTCTCACTCTCATATAGTCAACTACAAAAATATATATATAAAAAATTACAAATCATTCTGAAATCATTTTTAAAATTCATAGTCAAACAAATTTTCAATTGTCAAAACTTTTTTCAACAATTTATCTTTTAAAATACAATTCAAAATTTGGGCACTATTTGGCATGTGCTAAAATAGCACATTATCTTATTTAGGTTACAATCATTTCAGTTAAGTCACAATCATCTCATTTGGATCACACAATCTCTCTACCATATCATTTTAAACACAACTCATATTTCACCTTTTTTTTAAAAAAAAAAATATACTAATTTAGTACATGCCAAACACCTTCTTAAAAATCTTTTCAAAAACTATATCAAACGGAGTTATTATTTTTCAGTTCGTCTTATATAGACGAATTTTAAAATATAAAATATAAAGTATTTTATAACACTATGTTTGGTTGGGAGATTTTGTGAGGAATTTGGAAAGAGAAACGGAAAAGATGTGTGAAACTAAATAAAATATAGGCATATTTTATTTACATTTCACATATTTTTTCCATTTTTCTTTCTAAATTCATTCTCAAATCCCCCAACCAAACACAGCATAAATAAATAAGTCAAAAAATTCACTATTTTGAGTTTTTTGTTTTTTGTTTTTTTTTTAATTTTTCAATTCGTGTAATCGGGCTGGATTTAGAAAGTTTAAAAAAATTCAAAAAAATGTTCACTAAAAATGAAAATAAGCAACAAAAAATACCAAATAAGTAAACCTCAAACACCTACTAAGACTCAGTTTATTTGGGTTAGAAAAAGGTCAAAAAATTATTATAAATAAATTAAAAGGTTAAAAAAAAACTTTGATAGTAAAAGGTTACATGATATATGCATCAATCGATTATATTTTTTTTTTTTCACAACTATTTATTCAATTAAAACGATTATATTTTTTTTTTCACAACTATTTATTCAATTAAAACAATCATTTTTATGCATATTAATTTTTTCATCTTATGAGAAAGTCAAAAAATGGCTAAAGTCAAATTCTCGAATGCGACCTCAATAAACAAAATAATGGTAATAATAATACTATTTTATGTGTGTTGTTTAATTACAATTTGTACATGAAGTTATATAAATACTGCATATCTTTTACTAATTTAACCATATAATTTTAATACTCAATGTAGAGTTTCTTATTAATAACTATCATTATACTACCGGGCACACATAATACGTGTCTAACTCAAAAAATTATAATATGAGAAAGATTAATTTATCATTGCTTATTTTTTCTAACTTCTATTTTTTAGTTCTTCTACATATTCAGCATTCACTATTGTATATATTGATGATGTACTGGTATACTCCAATTCTATCTTCCAACATAGCAAACATTTATACAAATTTTATCATGTTATTAAACACAACGGTCTCTTATTAAGTGCCAAAAAAAAAAAAATGTACCTTTTTCAAATCTCAATTTGTTTCCTTGGTCATATTATACATAAAGGTACCATCATCTCCATACAACGATCTATAGAGTTTGCCACCAAATTCCCTGAAGAACTATGCGACAAAACCTAGTTACAAAATTTTTTAGACAATCTCAATTATATTTCTGAATTTTACAAAGATCTCCATAAAGATACTCAAATCCTTTATACCCAGTTAAGAAACAATCCAACTCCTTAGACCCAGGAACATACATTGGCTGTCCAATACATCAAACAACAATCCAAATATTTGCCTCTATTATGTTTACCTATTCCTACTGCTTACAAAATTGTTGAAACAGATGCAAGTAATATTGGCTATAGTGGCATTATCAAACAACGCTATTGTGGTAAGAAACAATCAGTTCATTTTACTTCCTCTATTTGGAAAGGTGCTAAAAAACGGTACTCCAGAATTCAAAAAAAACTTTTATCAATTGTTTCTTGTATCAAAAAATTTGAATCTAATTTATTAAATCAAGAATTTTTATTACGTATTAATTGCAAGGCCGCAAAAGAAGTCCTTGAAAATGATATTAAAAATATCGTTTCTTGACAAGTTTTTACCCGATGGCAAGCAATTTTATGTGTTTTTTATTTTAAAATTGAATATATTCGCGGTGACTGCAATTATTTGCAAGGACCTCCAAACACCAGCAACTAACTGCCACAGTCTTAGTCTTACCCGTCACAAACAAGAGTTTAAATTCCATAATTTCTTTACACACCATCGCCATCGACGTCACAAAATAAATCATTATTATCATTGAATGGCAAAAAATCTTTAAAAACATCACTCTTCAAAGGCTACATCCTTTTCCAGAGGACCCAATTTTATTCCTTACACTCACAAATTCCTCCTTTGAAAACACCCACAATCAATCAAGGTGATTACCCTCATGATAATACTTACCCTATTGTTCCCCTTATTCTTGATCACGTCCAATACCTTCAAGAAAAAATAGACGTTGAACCAGAAACCCTCATCCCTACTTATTTCCCAATAATTGGCACTATCCCCAACATTCTGGTCAACATTTCTGACTTTGTTATAAGAAAATTCTTGAAGAAACCAACATCATTTCTGTCACCAATATTATATAACTTAGGACTCCTTTGGTATCAAAGCCATTCCTTAAGTTAGGTCATTCTTTATATTCCTGCTAGTTATAGCAGTTAACCGATGTAGCACCCAAGTCGTAGACGTCTGTAAGCCATTTAGTTCAATTAGGTAGGAAATTGTTGCAGGCCAACAAAGCTTGAGCAAAACCAACTACTGACAGCTACAATTACCTATTATTAATGGCAAGAATATTTAAGTCATTCTCTAACTTAGTTTCTGGTGAAAGTTCCTTTAGCAAGCCTGTAGTTATAAATCAAAGTGATGTAGAATTGAATGGATGGAAGAGAAATTAGCCATTTGGAAAATGCCCAAAAAAGATGTGGATCAGTTATATAATAAAAAATTTGAACTCAAACAAACTTATAAGATCAAAACTATAGAACAAATCTTACTTGTTACTAAAGATAATCAAGCATTTCAATTGCTTGATAAAGAAACAACTATCAAATTTTGCAAACACTTTAATTTCTTACATCTTGATTTGGTACACGTAAGAATTAAACCTATGACTCGAAGTCATCTCAAAAAGTTTATACTTTACAGTTTACGAGATATGAGACACCATGATTATGAAGATTCTTTATTAAATATAGTTTAGTTCATGGTCCTATATACTTTGAATGCTTTCCAAACTTTGAAGTATCTCTAATGGATACTACTATATTAAAAACCCTCACTTAATGTTCAAACAAAAAGATATAAAATGGATTCATCTACTTATAATATTATGATTGTTTATCACGTATATTTAAAGGCTATGATAACATCATGTCCATGATTCAAATATATCTCACTAAACCCAAAAGATTCCACAATCCTTTTCCAATCTCACCAAGAACACTCTGAAGTAATTACATGGGATGAAGTTTAACAATCAAATGCTGAGGATGATGATAGCATAAAAGGGTCCGGAAGTCCGAAGGCAAGGCTCGCAGCCGAGACTCTAAAACTTCTGAACGAGTACAATATGCACCATCACCGAGCGCTCAATCGGTGACGCCTGAGTCTTAAGGTCGGTCAAAAATGGGGTGTCTACAGCCACCCTTGTTTTTGCCAAAATTTAGGTCTGTCCGGACCAACCTACGAACCAGAAGAATTAGGCCCAAGCTCAAGCCCAGGGGGTATTCAGGCCTTGGAAGGGCCCATGGGCCAAGTCAAGCTTCAAAATGATGGCCAGGTCCCAGGTAGGACTTAGGCTTGGGCCTAAGCAAGCCGAGCCCACCTCCAGCCGCGAGTGGGCTTCAAACTGCCCACAGGCCACGGCCCATTTTTCCACCCCTACTTGGGTTGTCCCACATGCCATTCCTTCCACAAATACTCAAACACAAACCAATCCTAAAACAATCATACAAAATTCAAATGGATCAGTTGTCTTACAATTCCAAAGATCCCGATCTGTACACTCTCAACCCCAATTTCTTCAATTCACTACCTCTACTAGATTTCACACTCCCATCCAAACACCAACCCAATTATCTCGACGATCCCTAGGTATACCTAATAGACATCTCACAGATACACCCTTGTTTTCCACGAGGTTGCAACCAGATCAAATCCCACACACTAATTACCAGGATTTTAGCCAATTTAACCAAGAGCTCGATTTCAACATCAATTCTTTATCTATCAATGTCATCACTAATAATTTCCAAATCAATCGAGAATTACTTTCACAAGAATATAATGCTCCTTACAATTTTAAGAATCATCTTTATTTTAAAAAA